TCGAAATCTTGTCAAGAGTCCTCCATGTGCAACAGATGATATGCTATTCCATGATAAATCAAGTTCGCACACGGTCATAGCAGTGGCAACGGACATGCTAGTTAAAGGCAGTTTGCTGAGCATGTTATGCGATAAATCTAATCTTTCCAAACCTTCTTCCCTAAACAGGTTGTCTGGTAGCGCTCTTAATCTATTGTGAGATAAGTCAACGATTCGAAGGTTGCTTAAAAATCTAAATAAATCGTTTGAAACATCTGCGATTCTGTTGTGCGATGCTATTAACACCTAGAAAGTGATAATTACATTATTATTTAATAGTAAATTGTTTATATTGGATTTAATAGAAGAAATTATTAAAATATTTCTCGTAAAAATAGTTGACAGCTAAGCCAGACATTATTTTAATTTTTGCTTATCCAGTAGATTATTACCAAATACTTAATAAGTATGACGCTGACCAATCTCTTAATCCAAAGATGTCATGTGATCCATAACAAAAGGATGCGAAGTGGCGAGGAACGCTACCGCAAACGGAGCCCTCCGGGATACCAGGCGACCTCCTAGTATTAATCCGTGTCACTACGGTTAATAGATTCGCAGAACACTTAGAAAACTCCTTTAAACCAAATGAAGGAGAAGAATTACCGAACTGGGCTCCTCTAGAGACAGATGACTCAATTTTTAGACCAACCTCTTCAAAGGAAATTGCAGAAGATATAAAAACAAATATTAATCCTAGGAAAGCTTGGAGATTGCAATACATGCATCATCAATTTTAGACACAATGTATATTTAGGCATTTTTCTTATTTTTAATTTTAAATATACGGGGTGTTTTTTACACATGCGGCAAAAATTCAAGGGGTTGTTCCTTGGACTATTCTAAGAATATTTTGTTCTTTGATGATTTTTAAAATTCCGTTTCGTTTACGAGATATTTTCGAGAAAACTATTTTGATTATTTTTAAAATTGTTAATAGCTTAAATAAAAATCTGATGTGTCCAACACATGACTTTCCTATCTAGTTATTACAGGCTTTTTCCGTTTATTGTGTACAACCTATTGCAGCATCTCTATAAATGTTTAGAGGATAAACTAAATATATATATATATATACATTGTCCACATACATCTACCGCGAAACATTTTTCTATAGATATTCATTGAAAATGAAAATACTGAAAAATTTAAATTTAGCACTTTTCCTACAATTTTTCCATTACGGTCCATTTAAAAAAAATCATGTATGAACAAATATTATAGAGATCGATATCGCAAACAACTTTTATTTCAACAATTTTTATAAAAATCAGAATTTTGCACATTTTGTCAAATTTCTCGAATTCAGGAAATTTTTACATAAGGCAAAAATTATAGATAATAATATTAGAAGTAACTTTTATTTGAACAATTTTCTTCTCCAAACATAAATAACAGATATATTCCATAAAATATATAAACGGCCTCCCATAAAGTACCCCCCCAGATGTTCCGACTTTGTCCAAAATCTAATCATTTCACGTCAGGCCGAAATAAAACTTAAGTTTAAAATTTATTGATTTTTTCTTTATCCGTTTTTGAGTTTTCTTCAAATTTCGAAATTTACACATTTTCTCAAATATCTCGAATACGGTCCATTTTAGAGAAATTATCTATGGGACAAAAATTATAGAGAATTATATTACAAACAACTTTTGTTTGAACAATTTTTATAAAAAAAAATATTTTTTTACATTTTGTCAAATTTCTCGAATACGGACCATTTTAGGAAAATTTTGTAAATGACAAAAATTATAGATAATAAAATAACAAGTAACTTTTATTAAAAAAATTTTCTTCCCCAAACGTAAATAACAGATATATTCCATAAAATATAAAAATGACCACCTATAAAGTACCCCCCCAGATGTTCCGACTCTGCCCAAAATCTAATCAGCTCATTAGACGCTAGAATAAAGCTTAAGTTTGAAATTTGGTGTTTTTCCGTGTATCGGTTCATGAGTTATGCGTTATACAGACACACACACACACACACACACAGACACACACACAGACACACACACACACACACCACAGACATCATCGCGAAAATAGTCAAAACGGATTCAGGGGACCTCAAAACGTAAAAATCCGTCGAAAACTCGAGGTCGAAAAAAATCATGATTCCTATACTTTCCTTATATCTGTATACAGATAGGAAAGTAAAAATAGGTATTACACTGTGTTAACGAAGAACATACAACTGTTTTAAAAATTCGTTATTTTTATTATTTTTTAACAACATTCCAATTACGAAACTGTAACGAAGTTACTTTTTTTTATTTATTTAAGAAATATAGGATCCGTCGGAAAACCGAATTATTATTTTTATTTTATTTTTCGTATTCATCATTTAGCTTTAACGTTAAAAATTCGAGTTTTCAAACGTTTACTATATATTGAATCTTCCCATCAAAATTTTTTTATAAGTCAGCGGACGATCGCCTGCATTTCCCCACCTCAATCTTCGATTAATAATCGAGTTTGCACGACGAGTGGCGAAAATCACCTGTAAAACAAGCTGCACCGGCCAGATCTCATTATCTTTCCGCCGACGCTTGAGCTAGTAAGCAGCAATTCTTAGCAGTACCAGCCGCCTCCGATTAAACAAATCCCGTTCTCCGAGTACAGGTAAAAAAAAACTGATTTCTTATCGCGTTGTTTTTGGAAGTAAATAAAAGACACATTCCGATTTATACCTGCTTTATTTTCTATTGAATTTGAAATACCGCAATAATTAATATTAAAGCATTTTGCTCTGTTAAAGGTCTTTATTTTTTTTAGAAAGATTTATTTTCATTTCCCGACTGAATTATTGATTTTTTTTTTTTAATTTTATTTTCCGATTTTGGATACGATTAAATTATTTAATAAGATAAATAGATTTAACGATTTAATTGCTGCCAGGTCTAGGTTAACTTTTTTTTTACAGTAGTTGATTCTTTTATTTAAATTTTCTTTCCTTTAAAATAAATACAGGGTGATACTCGTTATTGATTTGATGATTAAAAATAATGTCTGAAAACTAACTAGTGTTTTGTATGCGTGATTGTGTCGCTACACTACTAGTGATTAGACATTATCCGTGGATTTTATTTATTTTATTAAACAGGGGTCACGACCGAAAACACATTTTTTTTTTTGATTTCCGTATAGAAAAGTAAATACTATCTGATACCTAGCTAGTGTTTTGTATGCGTGATTGTGTCGTCACACTGCTGGAAATTAGATATTATCCGTTGTGACATTTTGTCTTTTACTATGATTTAATTCCAAAAGGGTGGGATATTAGATGGGAAGTTAAACTAGTTACCTGGTACCGATTAATTTTATTTTTCATAATTGTTAATATTGAATTCTATTTCCGTTTATATTCCCTGTTCATAACTAAATGCTACCGTAATCCGATTTAATTCAGAACTCCGTGTCATTTGCTTTTATCTGTATATTTATCTAAATCACGTCTGATTGAGCTCCGACCTGTCAAGCCATCGTCCGCAACCGCTTATTTTTGTTATTTTTTTGTTCAGGGTTATAACGACTCATAAGGTGGTGGGCTTTGAAATATTTAAATTTTTATTATTGTTAATAGCTTTCGTAAGCAATAGATGTATTAATTTTCAAAAATTTGGCTTATAATTGTGTCGACCTTTCCCTTTTTCTCTTTCAGCTTCGACAATTCTTTAAACGTAACAATAACGATTAAAGCCCGTTATTGTTACCCTCTTATGTGTATAGTCTTACATCAACGAGACCCCTGGAGTTTTTCCGTCATCTCCACTAGACGCTACCTGTGTTGTGGAGCAAACCACATTAATAAAACTGGCGCTCGAGTACTTCCGAGTCCTAGGGTGTCACTAGTAAGGGTAATATTTTCTTAGAGGCAAGAAAACACCTTACAAAACACGGCTTTTTTTCACTTAATAAAACGGATTTTCAAAAATCATCAAAGAACAAAATAGGAACAACCCCTTGAATTTTTGCAGCATATTTAAAAAAACACCCTGTATATTGTGATTTTTATTAATATTGTAAATTTATTTGGTGCCTATTATAATTACCTCAAATATTACTTCGTTTTCATAAAGCCCAACTAATTACTACAATCATTCGATAAATTACGATATTGCAAAGTTTTAATGAAATAAACAAAAAATTTGTGATTATTTTAAATAATTTTACTATACTCTGTTTTTATACTAGGAGGAGCGATTTTAATTTAAGTTGGCAATCCTGTACACTTCTAATTGGTCAGATTGCAGTCAGTTTCACACATCACTTTTTAGCGTTAACATCAACTAATAATTGATAGTTGACAGTTCTGACATTTTATATTTTGATATCTCATCGGTACTACTTAGTTTTTTACTTTATTTCGTAAATAATAGTCCTTTTCAGAACTTAATTAAGCAATTGTATTGAATTTCTACGATTATGGATTCTTCTTCACCGATTAATATTAAGGGTAGGAATTCCTGAAATATTTTCTTGATATTCCTCGATATTTTAATTAAATTTATATGCGATACTAAGCTAGATATTTGAGACACTACTTCTCTTATTTCTTTCTTTTGTGTATTCCGTTTTTATTATTTAAACATTCTGTGGCAAATGGACACCGTCCGAAGCCATATCTCTCACACAACACAACACATCTCCTGGAAGACCCTACAAGAAAGGGAAGACGTCTTACTTTACGTGCTGATTCTGAAGATTTTGTAAAAAATACATTATTGGCTTTAAAGGTAAAAAGACGGGAGATTAACATGAAGAGATGAATTCCGAAGTATTCTAGAAAAAACCTTACAATTTTATTACTGATTTTGTAAAACAAAAATTTGTAAATTTATTACCAAAATTATTAAAAAGTAACTAAATATTCAAGTAAATTTTATTTATTAGAAAACCATTTACAAAATTGTTAATTCATATTTAAAACACCACTACATTAGAGATAATCTTAATTTAACATTATTTCCACAACAAATATTTTAAAAATACCTACTTAACATTAATACATAGGCAGTGGCGGCTCGTGGGCACTAGCGGCAGTGGGGCACACACTAGAAAGGATTCGCGGCAGTGGGGCACACACTAGAAAGGATTCCCGGGATTCGTTTTCCCCTTAGGTAAACAAGTTCTCCGCTTAATGAAAATTAAATATATTTCAGAACAATCAGTTGGGGCAATAACGATTTCTGAATGTGACTACAGGGAGCTAAATGTGACCACTCAAAATGCATTTAACTATGCATGTGGCTTAGGGTGGCCCAAAAAAAGCGAACATTTTTTTTTATTTAAGTCTCCTATGAAAATATGTTTGTTTATCATGTTTTAAGAGCCCCCTCCAAAGGACAGCTCAAAAAAAAATTTTTAAAGGGTCGCTACGAATTTTTAAAAAATTCCAAAATCATCGAAAAGCGGATTTTTTTTGGATTAAATTTTTTTTTCTCAATATTTTATTTTTTTCTGTAAGAAAAATCATGAAGATCCTGAAAATTTTAAGTCGAAATTTTAATATTGAAAGGTCGCTCCGAATTTTTCTAAAGTTTCTAACCGAGTACTTTGTATCTTTTTGAGCTACTTTTGAACATGAATATTAACAAACTTTATATTTTTTTGTTTTCATTAAACTTTTTTTTCGTTTCTCGTGCTTCAATTTCATTCTTTAGTATGTAAAATTAAAGAAAAAAAATATAAATTTCGTTAATATTCATGTTCAAAAGTAGTTCAAAATGATACAAAGTACTCGATTAGAAACTAGAAAAATTCGGAGTGACCTTTCAATATTAAAATTTCGACTTGAAATTTTCAGGATCTTTATGATTTTTCTTATAGAAAAAAATGAAATAATGAGAAAAAAAATTTAAAACAAAAAAAAACTGGTTTTCGACGATTTTAGAATTTTTTAAAAATTTGGAGCGAAACCTTAAAAATTTTTTTTTTGAGCTTTTCTTTGGAGGGGGCTCTTAAAACTTGATAAACTAACATATTTTCATAGGAGACTTAAATAAAAAAAAAATATTCGTTTTTTTGGGCCACCCTAAATGTGGCTATTTAATCAAAAAATCATTACATATCCACTGTTGCGAAATTTGCGTAAATTTCTCAGAAGAATGCAATTTACCTAACAATTCTAACTTGTTAACGCATTTTAAAGCATACGACCCTGAAGAAAAGGTGTTTGGCAATTTAAAATCTCCCAGCGAAAAATGTCTCTTTTATATTTTCAAATTAGAAAAAATATTTATATCTCTATTTGATAGTTTGTAAACTAAGCCTGGAATTTTCAACGCATACTTTTTTGAGATGAGCAAAAGAGAATTTGGTAATCCTTGCCAACAATTTGCGAAAATGTACACCGTTAAACTATTTATAAGACTCAGAATTTTTTCTACTCTTAAATATGCAAACAGAGATTTGAAATCCTCGAAAAAGTCAGACAAAACCAAAAAAGAAATTTAAATTTTGTCCCAACTCTATTTTCAGATGTACAACATCTACAAATTTATATCCCGTCATAAAAAATTTCACAAATTCACAAGTTCGGCGATGTTTTGTAACCTAGGCGGTCGGACTAAACGTTCAACGGTCGCAAGCTCTGCTGAAACTGGAGCCAACGCAATCTTCCGTACTATTTCTTCCGCTGGGTATAGGAAGAAAGTGGTGGGAGCTCTAGGCTATTGCCGCCGCGTACATTCGTATCTGGTGTAGGTTAATCTGGGACAGCGCCCTGCTTGTGATGTATAATTCATCGCATGTGTTCATCTCTTGCTAAGCGATATTGTCGTTGCTCTTGTTTTTCGCATCATAATGAGAGAGAAAACAACAGAGGCACATATTTACTGTGCTCTGTGCTTATCTTCGGAACGTCGCTCAACGCCCGGTCGTCCAGTGTCGTGCCAACGGGGTTTGCGCTGAATATTAGATAAAATAATACGAATAGGCATTGAGGAAAATATAAAATATGTTATTTTTTTTTGTTAATTATACTAGGGCACGTGCCCAAGTGCCCTTACGGACAAAACGCCACTGTACATAGGTATAGGTATATATAAATAGTTCACTTTAAATTAAAAAATTAGGTAAAAATTACAACTTAAGTTAAAAGAACCTGCAATATTAATAAATTAAGTTTTAATAACGATTTAATGTTGACATGTAGTGTTATAAAAATGTTGGTTTCAGTTTTCAAACCAAATCCAGACTCATAGGCCTGTAAACTTTTGAATGCCTTTATTTGCCCTATAGCGCATTAACTATGGGTTAACACCAAATTAGCTAAAATATCCATATTACTCATAGGATAAATTCCAGTCACTGTGATCCAGTTGCCATTGACTTCTTACCTTTTACTTAAGTTTATACCTATAACAAATAAATCATTGAAAATGTAACACAATCATATTTTCATGTTTTATACTAACCTGCATCTTGATATTCTTTTAACAAATTTCACAAATATTCAGTATCCATTTAAAAAAATCATAATCCTCAACAAGTCGATTTCAAAAGAAAGAAAAAGATATTTCTGATAACGTCAACAAATCAACTACCATATTAAATTTCATTTGACAGTGACAGTTTGTTTTAGACACACTTTTCAGGTCACAATAATGTGAAATTTACGACCATTGTTTGGAACCAATAAAAAATCGACTACTATGACATTTATTTGTTCCTTAATCCCTCATTGGCCGTTCGCCGACTATGGCCGATAATAACAACTATTACATACATTTTAAACACGACTATATTTCGGAACATGCTCTTAGTAACGAATCTAGTTACTTTTCCTTGTGTAAATGCGTCTTTTAAATTCGCTCCTCCTAGTTTAAAAACAGAGTATAAGCATGTCTCCGATTTGCCATCAACTGGGCTTATTTCTACTCTCAATCATTATTTGTTTTACTTTAGTTTACATCACATACTTTGATTACTATACGGTGCAAGAGAGAGGTCCGACACGCCCAACATAGGGCGCGCCATTTTGATTCCTATGCCACAGTTTATAGCTAAAGAATCAGATCGCTCACTCTGCGTTGGCACTTTTGATCTCAATGTTCCAGTTTATACACTGCGCAACTCGAATAATACAATATATGACAACCGCCTATAATAAAACAGCAGTCTTCTGCGTATCCTGAATTTGTATCCCTGGAGTGGATGTTATTTTGGAACTTTCAACTGGTCCGAGTGAGCTAACTGATTCTTTAGCAATAAACTGTGACTCCAAAAATAATATTCACTGACACTAACTGCAGCAAGCAAAATCCACTTCTGCTTCCGGAATTTCGGTTTAGTCGTTTTCACCTGTCAGATTAAAACAAGAAAACCCACAATTCCGAAGCAGAAGCGGATGATTAAAACGCACCTATTAAAAATATTGCGCCAAGATATAGGCAACACGTAATAAGGAATCAAAATGGCGGAGTTTTCTATCTCCTTTTAAAAGGCACTCAGAAAGCTGCGCAGTGCGACCATTCTCCGTATAGTAAAAGAAAATCAAAGTATGTGGTTTACATGCATTGCGCGAAAAATGTATTTCGCACACTATTTCGCGCATGGTGTCTTGGTAACGTAAGAAAATTAAAAATTGGTCATTTCGCATATTGTTATCAATGTGCATACCTTGTCATTTTTTTAAGTTTGTAGAAAAATGTATTTTGACGAGTTGGGTTTATTTTATTAGAGGCGATTTCAAATCAGTTACTAGAAATTTGAACAAATCAAGTGTGGTCAAGGTTTTTACGTCATTATAATGATGTTCTATTGACATGATTTAAAAATGTTTGGTTTATATTGACACTAACTTAACAATATGCATGAAATTGTAAGATATCGCGAATTTTTGTTAGTATTTTGTAGTTAGGATTTGGTTTTGAATTTGTAAGGATAAAAAATAAATATTTGTTTTGTTGTATTTGCTTTGGCCTTTGAAATGTTATCAAACCTTTGCCATGTTCATCAATAAATATTGGCTACTTTGAAAATTTTGCTTTCCATTTACAAAAACCTTTAATGTGTTTATATCTCGGTACTTATTCTTTCTTCCGATTTTACAAATAACAACCAAACATTATTTTAACAATTAAAAGTAAAAGCTTTACATTTGTCATTTCATTTGACATTTTATACCTGTGATAACCACCAGAGCAGCAGCAGAGACTAGGTACATAAAGATAGGAAACGCAATGACCGCAGCAATGATGGCGTCATCTATGCGTCTCAGATATTATCTATAGGTATACGTCGTTTGTAGAGACCAGTGTTGCCAATTTTTTTTTGAGAGATCTATTTTTTAACTGTAACGCCACTGGTTATTTTTAAGTTTGTAAAAATTCATCTTTTTGTTTCCCTACTTTATGGTTATCGTATTAAACCAAATCAATAATATTACGAATACACCTTCACACGCTGAAATAAAAAGATGGAGTATCTGGCATTTTAAAAATTTTAAACTGTTTGTAATCGTCCCCATGTGTTTTTTAATGTTTTTAAATTTTGACTGCACCCGAAGATGGAAACTAAGTTTTCCGAAACATATGTAGTGCTGTGCTAACGATGTAAAATAAAATTAATGACCGAATACACCAGGGAAATTTTTAATTATATATAATATATGTTCGTCTTCAATGGAGTTGATTTCAAGATTATTAATAATATAAATGTGTATTAAAAAAAAGTCATATCTTTGAGTATTATTAGAGTAATAATAGGTACCCTGTAAAGAGGGACATCATCAGAATTTACTGACATTGATAAATCATTTTATCTAAATCTAAATATCAATTATTAAAATTCATAACCATTTGATTACGAATAACAGTTAACTTGCCCATTAATTCAATATTTTTATTTTGACTTCTTCAAGCGGTAACGTAAAAATTATCTTCATAAAATATTATTTTGGTAAATAAAATAGTTGAAACACCTCACAAATGTATTTAGTAGGTACCTGATATCTTCTTTCATTGTTTGTTTTGTATCTATTATTATTTATTTAAAATGACTTACCTGTAACTTTTTGGTGTTTCTAAACATGTCAAAATCCATTTCGTACATCCCATTGTGGGAAATATCGAGCCATTGTAAATGCCTTAAGCTGCCAAAAACATCTCTACTGGCGTTCAAAATATTATTATGAGACAGATAAAGATGCGTCATTGATAACTCGACGGGTCTGAAGAATTGTTTGGATATTGACGAGATATTATTGAAAGACAAATCTAATATTTTAATATTCGAATGAATGCTTCCAATACCTGCACAATAAGAACATACTATTTCAGAACGTGAATGGAATTTGTTGGTTACCTATACTAATAGAGAGAGTTCTGAATCAATTACATAGACCGAAATCGATTAAGATTTGTTTTAATATTTTTTTAAATTTCTGTATTACTCAAATGACTAAAGTGAACATTAGATTGCCACCTACCCAGAAGAATGAAAAATTAAATACAGTACTTATGTGTGCAAGATACACATATTATGTTGTAACAAAAGCAAGAGGAATGTGTTCAATAATTAATAAATTATCAACAAGCAGACGCAAACCGAATTCATAGGACCTTCTTTGAAAACAAAAATGAGAGGCGGAATATTTAAATCGACGCCATCCCGATGTTAAGCAATAAAATAACACGAAGCAGATTCAAGCCGAATCTATTTGAGGCAGAAGTTATTAATATTATTGAACTAGCAATGTTCAATGTTCAATCATTTTTTAACCCCTTTAGTATGTTCCTGGGAAATACATTTCTTTTAATTTTGACGAAGTTTACTTTAATATAATACCCCACAAGCCATGCTTTGTAACAAAATGCGTAACTTTATATAAGCTGCCTCTGTATCTATATTTGTAACGTGTAAAAAGTGGGTTAACCCACAGCACTAGGCCCTTCGTGAATTCTCCTAAGTAGATAGGCAAAGGCCAAATAAGGAAGAGAGGGACTTAAAGGATTAGAGCATGACTGAATAATGAAATGGCTCGCATTACCTTATTAAAGTAAACTTAGTAAAGATTTAAAAAATACATATTTCCCTTGGGGTTAAAAATATATTTATTCACCTTTCTACATAAATTTAGCTAGTTACATTTGTTGACTATGGTCCTAGTGATCAACTTTAAGATTTTTTCTTGTCTTATCTTAAACTGAGGTCTTAATGCGTAATGCTTGTTGGTGAACTATCTCATACAATCTTAGCACACTCTAGGGTCCTTTACTACTTTAATTTAAGTTCTCTACTATTCTTAATATTTGTTAATGATCTCCTTCTACGTATTACATCAGACGATCTTAAAGTTTTCAAGAAAATATCTACCCTAGATGATTATCTAGACTTAGACTCAGTTTCGAAATGGTCTTAAGAAAATAAATTACTTTTTAATCTTCGCAAATGCAAGGTAAAATACATTTAGTAAAATTCGTTATCCTCAAAATTGTATTTGCACAATTTAAGGATCAACACTAGGTGGTGTCAAAAATGGCTGACTTGGGAATAGTTTGTCAAAATAATTTTAAATCTGATGAGCATATCCATACTATTACCAAAGAAGCTTGTTAGGATTTCTGAAACGCACGATTTGCGACTTTGCAGACATACTCAAATAAAAAAAAATTTATTCGTAGCAAATTATAACATGCATTCACTGTATGGGACTCTACAGAACAAACTTTAAAACAAATTTTGGAAAATATTCAAAATAAATTTCGAAAATATTTATACTTCAAAGAATTATAGTACAAGTCTAATGTCTGTCTCATTTAAACCTATTAGAAAATAGTTTAAAATTGAAAAATTCAACCTTATCATTTCACGTAAATTATTAAATAGATATTTGGATAGTCATCATTTATTCACGGACCGTTCTACAATTGCAGACATGTGTAGGGACAGGACTGAAATTGCAGATGACTACTGGACCACTGAAAATGACACGTATGCTATTGCAGTCGCAATCTCCATAAGGAATATATGAAAGGTGGGCCAAGTGTCCTTAACTGTGAAAGATCAAACATGGTATTATTCGGCCCCAAAAGTAAAAGACAACTTATATGTAATTCTGTAACAATAAAAGTTAATGATTTACTTCTTAAAATGGTTAATGAAGCAAGGAGTTTGTGAGTCATATTAGATAGTGACTTAAGATTTAAAAATCATGTTAATCAATTAACTAAGCGAGCTTATTTAGTTTTAAAAATTATCTATGAAAACAAAAATGTTCTTCCACAAATGTTATGTGACCCATGTCTATCCAACCAATTTCAATATAAAATATCAAAGCTACAATTACAATCTCATAAATTACAAGAAATTGGTTGGTTGAATATGAACCATAGGAGAACTTTACACATGGCTACTTTATATCACAAGATAATGTTTACAAAAATTCCTGTATACCTACTACTCATCGAACTGATGTACATAATATTAATGTTAAGTCTAGAGCAGTGGTCGCCAACCTGTCGATCGCGAGCTACCGGTAGCTCGCGGAGGCAATTCTCGTAGCTCTCACAACGATTTTAATTTAAAAAATACAAACTGCAAAAATCAGAGAAGCTTCCGAAAATTCCACAAAAAAATCTAATTGTCATAATATTAAACATAAACAGCGGCAACGTTGCGGTGAGCGATCTGCCGCTGACGCCATCAAGCTAGAATCGGCTAGAACCGACCAGCCGGACCAGCGCGTTAGTGTTCGAGAACGATCAGGATATCTTTGAACGGGATAAATACGCACGGCGCGGCGACATTGTGCTTAGTTTAAAACTGAACGCGTAACCAACGTCCAGCGGTTGGGTTAGTAGAGAACAACAAAAAATAATATTATGGCAAGCAGTTGTAAGAAGGTAAAGACATACCACTTTCATTCGGAATGGGAAGAACAATACTTTTTTACAGAAATTAAAGATAAAAATGTGTGTTTGTTATGTAATACTTCGGTCTCCGTTGCTAAAAAAGAAAATATTGAGAGACATCATAAAACTGTACATTCTAATTTTGAAAAATCATTCCCACTACATTCTGCCGCCAGAAAGGAGAAACTGAAACAGTTTAGAAAGCAGTTAATTGGACAACAATCAATATTTTTAAGAACAGTCGACAAAAATAAGGCTGCAACTGAAGCATCGTATCGTGTGTCCCAGATAATTGCACAAAAAAAGAAACCTTATGAAGACGGAGAAATGAAAAAACTGGCGTTCTTAGAAGCTGCTGATTCGTTATTTGTCAACTTTAGAAATAAAAACGAGATAGTTTCAGCTATAAAATCTATGCAAATTTCTGCTAATACAGTGATGAGACGTGTAGAAGTAATGAGCAATGATATTTTTTTACAGTTAGGAACTGACTTAGATAACTGTGTTTATTTTTCACTTCAACTGGATGAATGAACAGATGTCGTTGACAATGCCCAGATGGCCGTGTTCGTCAGGATGGTTTTTGATGATTTTACGATTAAAGAAGATCTTTTGAAGTTTATTCCACTGAAAGGACACACTACTGGACAGGAGTTGTTTTCTCATTTAAAAAATATTATTTCTTCCGAGAAAATTCCAATATCGAAAATGGTAGGCTTGACAACCGATGACGCTCCAGCTATGGTGGGTTGTGATAAGGGTCTGGTGGCGTTATGTCGTAAAGATGAAACTTTTCCGCAATTTCTCTGTTACCACTGCATTATTCATCAGCAAGCATTATGTGGAAATTTCCTGAAACTAAACAACGTCATGAAACTGGTGGTAAAAATTGTGAACAAGATTAGAGCTTAAGCGTTACAAAGAAGATTATTCAAAACCTTGGCCGATGAAGTTGACTGTCAATACGGAGACCTACTCCTTCACTCTGAAGTCCGATGGTTAAGTAGAAGACGGTTGCTGAAACGTTTTAATGATGTCCTATCTGGCATAGTTCAATTTTTCAAACAACGCGATGAACCGACTCCGGAACTACAAAATTCAATCTGGCTTAGAGATTTTGGTTTTCTCGTGGACATTACAGAGAAACTAAACGAACTTAATTTGCAGCTTCAGGGGAGAGACAAAGAACTAGCGGAAATGATTTCTGATATAAAAGCATTTATCAAAAAGCTGGAGTTTTGGGAACAAAACCTAATTAAGAGCGATGCCAAGCATTTTCCTATTCTTTCAAAAAAAATATCTCAAAATCCATTAGAACCCTATGACAGCAAATATTATGTAGAAATAGTTTCTACCCCGAAGAATAACTTCAAAAATCGTTTTAAGGATTTCAACGAAAAGGCTTTAGTAGCGCAGTTTGTTGTTTCACCCTTTATGGAAATTGATATCCAACAGTTTGCAACTTGTGTTATGCAGAACTTTGGCGAAGACATCGCTGCAACAAAAATGGAAGTAATTAAGTTTCAAAATGATTTAGCCTTAAAATCGTTAGTCTTAAGTACCAAATATATCTGGCCTATTGTAAGTAAAGACAAATATTCAGTTTTATGCCGTGTTGCCTTGAAAGTGAAAGCATTATTCAGTTCAACCTATTTGTGTGAATATTCTTTTTCCAATATGAAGTTTATTAAGAACAAATATCGCAATCGACTTACAGACGAACATTTGGATAATTGTATTCGAATGGCTGTATCAAATTATACTGCAAACATTAAAAAAATTATCGATGAGTCTGAGTGTCAGCCTTCTCATTGAACGTGCTTTTTTATTTTTCAATGTTTATGTTCATGATAGTGCGTTACTTTTTTGTTGTTATTATTAACTATTTTTAAATTTTACGTGACATGCCGTTGTGGCTGGATAAAAGTTTGTGTTTATTTTTCAAACACCTTTGTTTGGTAGGTAGGAATGTAACTATGAACAAGTACGTACTAGTAATATTAGTTATTTTGTTATTAGTTTATTATTAGTACCTATGTATTATGTATTACCAGTTAATTAGTAAAATAAATACATATAATGATAAATTAACTGTTGATTATTTCATTTACGTTGCGTTACGTGGCTTCCGTGTGGGTAGCTCGCTGTTTATTCCAAAATTAACAAAGTAGCTCAACACATTGAGAGGTTGGCGACCACTGGTCTAGAGGGCCTTTAACCCATTATAATTTTAGATTAAACTCAATGTCACGCAGTTTAAGATTAATTTTAAGAAATATCTTGTGGATCAATATTCAAATATATAGGTAAGGATGTTAAGTATGATTATATAACTTTTTTAATAATACTTTTTTTTTATTTGATGATTTTGTTCAAGGTTAAGTGGAAGAGCAGTTCATCGCTGATGTTATGTTTATTATTATATACCAAGTTTGTTATCAGAGAAGTGTCCCACGAAGGCATTTAACTTGAACTTGAGTCCACTGCGCTATTCCCCCCTAAATTAGGTGATGATCTGATTAGATAAAAAATAAACCATTACGTAAATGGCAAAGTCATTTCCCGAACTTTCAACCAAATTCTTCGACTGATCATTTACAATTATAGCTCTATCGCCATTTCATTGATTATTCTTCAATAAAGACATCCGCTGGGTTCTAGTACATTCCCGAATAAATGATTCATACTGGCGCTATCTGTGACATCCCTATAGTTGGGTAAATCAAATATTTCTAGTTTAAAGAACAATTGGAGTCGTAAAAAAGCCTAAACAAGGCAGAGGGAGTTACAGGATTAAAAAATTACCATATTGTTCGGAAATGGCTCGCATGTTAACTTACCCTCAATGGCACTAGAAGAACGGTATAGAATAAGCGATGCTATTTATTAGACACAGGTAAACAGTCCTCGCCAACCTACTAGTTGTAGAAATGTATCCATGCCTTCAATCACGGCAGGCAGTTAGCCGATTTACGGGAGTTTCTCCTTATTTATTTCACGTGCAAATATAATTAAGCGTTTCTTTTTTATTTTGAAGGATGTGTTAACGCACTGTATATTAAACGATAAGTTTTATACCTAAATATAACAAAGTGGTTGAATCTAATACTGCGCTTAAAAAAATTGTATGTAGTGGCAAACTTTCCGGGATCATGATCAGAGCAATTGTTTCACTTTAAACCTTTTAATACAGACATAAGCATTTTATTCATTGATTCAAAGCTCTCAAATTTTGTGCGTTTAGACAGATTAAAAAGTAATTTCAGTATTTGATTCTAAAAAGAAAATGTTTGCTTTCTCCTCTTCGTATAGCTTACCGTAAATTGTCAAAATTTAATTAAATCTATCTAAGCCTGGTAATTTAATTTAACCAACCTGCATTTGCTTCAAAATTTGCTGGTATATTAACAAACAGATCTCGAAGGGTATTATGACTCATATTTACTTTGAATATCGAAAGAGTTCCAACCTGATCGAATACAGTAAAATCAAAAGACTTCAACTGATTGTACGACATATCTAGATCTTCTAATTCTGGTAAATTCTGGAAAGCTTCATATGATACTGAACTTATTTTGTTTCCTTTTAAATTGAGTCTTTTAATATTTTCCAAATTCATAAAAGCACGTCTATCTAGAGATTCTATTCTGTTATCATCCAAATGAAGTTGTTCTAGCTTCGGTAAATAAACGAAAGTGTGTTGTCCAATCGTTTTTATATAGTTAAAAGATAGATATATTTCTTCTAAATCTTTATGGATATCGCCCTATAAAGAAAAACAAAATACTGAAGTTTAAAATATGCTCGATTATAACCAAAAATTAATTTTTTCAATTTTGACATATGTAGTGACATTTTTGTAATCGCGGCAAGGTCAAAATTATCTATTTTACGCAACCAGTTGCATAATGTTGAACATTATGAAACTTGTTTCGAAATATTCATTATATCACCAGTTGCGAAAAGAAAACAAATTAAGAAAACCTTTTTTGGTTTTAAAATCAATAATATATTATTAAAAATGTATATCAAAGAAGAGCAGGTTGACTTATAAAAATAAAATTTGTTTAAACTTAAAATATACTAATATTATTATTTTGCTTCTTATTTTCCATTTTAGATCAGCACAAACTAATTAAATCACAATACATGACAAAATAACCCACTTTTTTAAAACTTAATAACATTAATTAGCCATATAAACACACTGCAAGTCATTGAAAATAAATAATTAATAATATGTTCTATTTGTCAATAAAATAATGCATATGCAACTAACAATACAAGAAAATAGTAATATTGGTTGCCTATATATTAGTAATGTTTTACTATACCACAATTTAATGAATAATCTAATTAAAATTAGAAAAAATATTGTATGCAACACGTTACTAAATTCCGCTTCATGTAACTCGTTCATGTTGCGGGACCTCGCTCTGCTCGTCCTACAAATATTCACTCTACATAAAATCAGGCATTTCGCAACTGATTTCATAAATAACTATTAGAACACTCACCTGAAATGTTCCTTTATGAATGGATTCAATCATGTTATCCTGTAATTCCAGTTTTTTCAATTCACGTAAAAAATGAAATGAAGTTTCAGGCATCGTCTTAATTTTATTATTACTTAGATCAAGTTTTTCCAGATTAGTTAAAACTTTTATTGCATCTGTTGGTAACATTGAAAAAGAAGATGATAAACCGTGTGATAGTTTTAGACGAGTTAAAGAGTGATCTATCTGTAAAATTAAATCATTACGATCAGACTATATTATATGGACCATGGAGGGTAGAGGTAAGGAAAACTATCTGTGTTTGCAAAAAGTGTCCCTCAATATGTATCAAATTAGGATGGCGTTAGTTTACCAGAAGATCACACAATTACATCAACAATGTCTATAATAGTTATATAGATTGCCCACCCATATGTAAATACCTAGTACACTTAAAAGTACACTTTTTAATTGACCAGAAGCCAAAGTTGACATATCAATAAACCTAGGCTCTTTTATCATGAGCTTTCAAGCATAAATGATTGCTATAGAACTGGGAGCGAGAGAATTGACTAATGTGGGACTGTCTCGGTGCCCGATACAATGTTATTTGATCTGGGTTCCGGAACACAGAGGTGTGGAGTGCAATGAAAAATCTGAAGCGCTTGCTAAGAGAGCAACCGAATTTGAGTTTATAAGAGCTGAACCATTCCTGGACATTGCAAAGAGCACTGCCAAACGTATAATCTCAAAATGGACAGATGGTGTAACACTCACGAGATATACCTCAGATCTAACGCATTCGAAAACATTTATAACCAACCCTTCCATCAATACCTCTGCTCAGATCTTAGAATAGAGTAGAAAAGAATTACGCATTTTCACGAAACAGGACATTGTCGTCTGGGTAACCAAATGAGAAGGATAAGTCTACAACAAACATTGGATTGTGTATTCTGCAGCGTGGAAGACGCATCTGCAGAGTACATTCTACTGCTCTATCTGCTCCGTTATGCAAAAAATAAGTTCCAAATCTTTAAATTTCTCCGACTGGAGCCTACCGAATTTAAACAAGTCTCGCCCAATTTGACAATAGTCTTCATCATAGGTGTTGCTTTTACAGTGAACTATAAGTTAGTTATGAGCCATAGTAGTTTCATCTGGGTCGCAGTGGAAGGCGATTAGTTTATCCTACACATTTTCAACCTAATATAACTTTTTATTTTTTATTGTTTTCCAATATCATGTAAAGTTGTAGTCGCTTTTGACAGGAGTTCGATGCTTTTCTAATGCTTTAAGTGAACGTGGAGATATATGTTCCATAAGCCATATAAAGTTATAACAGAAAAAAAAAGAGAGGAACTGAAAGTGGCAAGTGGAAAAGAAAATGTTGATCCTGGCATCTGCATACCTTCCCTCCAATGCAATCACGCCATCACATAGCAAAGAATTGGATGCTTGAACCAACAAATTGAGCTAGTAATAAATTGGGACTCAAATGCCCATCACTTCAGTTGGGACAACGCTAGGAGCAAGTTACTATATAATTATATAAATACCAAAAATCTTTGTGTTATAAATAAAGGTATTAAACCAACATTTTTTGAAATCTCGCAGGTAAACCCGAGAATAACCAAACGCCGAGAAGCGACAAAGACCCTTTCCCGCCGGGTCGGTTTTCGAAGGCGCATGATCGAAAGTATGGTGTCTATTTGCATGTGGCCAACTAGATCAGCGCGACACCATAGATAAACTAATAAAGAAGATGGTCAGATTCTGTGTTAATCTTTGGAAACGTAGTGCTGCGAATTAGTATGGAACGGATCTTTTTTGAACTACACTGGCTGATTGATTTGTCAGTAAGAGGCATAAAAAAAGAAGAGTGTTAACGTAACCGCGGTTCATTTAAATATCTTTATTTATTTATTTATATTTTTTGGGGTTCATTACTTTAAAAAGAAAAACTAATATTTATATCAAAATATTGTATTTAACATATATATTAGTTTTTTTTAGTTATAAAACCCCAAAAAATGTATACAAAAATGTAGACAAAAAATATTTACACTGAAATAAAATATAAGACAAATATATTTAAATTATTTATTATACAGTAATACATACATAATGTGTTAATAAAGAACAATTGTAAGTGAAATGAATACTAGTTTCCCCACATTCTTGTAAAAATGGACCATACTTTGATGGGCGTCAGGTGTTTCCTATAAAAACAAAACAAAAAGTGTACATATATGTTATTGAACAATTTCTCTTATCAAAATGTTGACCATTTTTATAAAACTAAGTTATTTTTAATTATTTGACGAAGATTGAGAACGACGCAGTCAACATATCCAATAATTTTGTCATTAACTGTATCAAAAGTGAGTTTTTCAGTTAGAGCTATTTCGTCGAACATTAAAATACAATTCCTATCAATTTCTGGCATTTTTCTAACAATTTCTTTAAATCTGGAAAACACTGAATCATTTATCCCCGTTTCAAAATGTAAATCACTTAAAATTTGTTGGATAGTAGATTTACTAGGCAACGAAATGCATTTTCTTAAAAAATTATATGCTCTTGGACCATTTTTATATAATGCTAAAGAAAAAATTTTATTCTGAGTGGTCCAAGAGGGTTTCTTTCTCTTACAATTTTCTAAACTACTTTTAAAGAATTTAATTCCAATCGGATCTAATTTATTATTAAAATCTGAAAATAACTGAGTTTTGGATAATTCAAAGGCTTTCTTGATTTTATTTTTGGAAACACGTAGAGCTTTCTTTAGCTTACAAATTCTAACGTTTTGTTCTCTATTAATAAAATACAGCTTTTTCTCTTTGGGACTTAAATTTTTGACTTTACTTTCATTTATTTATTGCAAAACAGTTTTTCTCCGTTTGGAGGGTTGTTCAAATTGTACATCACTAATATTTAGTTTACGTTTGCAACTAATTTCTTGATTTTCGTTGCTGATTAGCAAATCTATCTTATGCTGCTGTGTTTGTGCTTCAGCCTCAATATATTCTGAAATCTGGCTCTCGGGTTGTATATTTTAACTGGATGCATAATTATCTAAAGAAATTGGTACAGAATGTACAACTAGTCGTTTACGTTTTGAGGAAACCTTACTAAAAGACTGGCAAAAAATGATCTTCACAAAGATAGCGAGTATTATTATCATCTAAAGTTAAATTTAAATTCTTAAACCAGTTCTGGCGAACTTTAACATCAGAAGGAAAATGAAAAAATGCTTTATTTGAATAACCAACTTGCTGAATATTAGAATAATACTTATTTAAACAATTAGGAGCTGAACAAGAATACTTAACTATACCCGGGCCAGACATTTTTGTTTCAAATATTAGAAAAGGAATTGTTGAAATATGAAATTAGATACCTATATATCGTTAAGGCTAAGAAAACAATGATAAACAAAGTCCTTAAATACTTAATATTAAATTAAAGTTAATACTTACTAATTACATCAAATCAGCACCGTTTGTTTCTTAACCTAAAAATAACTTACCTACCTATGTAACTTACATCATAAAATAAAAATAAGTTTTATTTTATCATATCTCGCCTTCCGCCATCACGTTTTTCATTTTTTACAAGGTTGTCAATCCCGTCCTTTAAAAATCTCAGCAATAGTATGGACATTGTATGGATGGTATGGTGCGCATGTAGATTGATAAAAAATTAAAATAAAATGAATTTGAAATAACTATCATCTCATGAAAGTGTACGGAAACCGGCAACATCGCTTTCATACTATTGCGATGGTGGCGCTAACTAATAGTATGCTGGGAACTACGCCGTGTTGACAGTGGCGGGCATTTAATAAATTCATCTTGTTTTATATTAATTTATCTATGCGCGACACCGTATACGAAGGTGTCCTGTGATTTTACTCCGAGCGCAACAACTGTAGTTTCGACTATTTTGAGTTATTTCTTTCAGTTATTACTGTGTGATTTTTATTGTGTTTTCTGGATAATTTCGTAACAAAATGGTTGGATCTTATTATGTAGTTCATGAATGTGATTCCAAAAATGGCAGCGGAATGAGTCTTTTTGCAGTCAAAGACATATAATTTTAAATGCAAAATAAAAAATGCACTCCCTTACTAAAAACATATTTAGAGTTGAGCAGTGTAAATTACAAATTTCCGCGCGATCGCGTGACTGCGAGCCAATTCAGCTTGCGTGCAGTGTAATTATGGTGTCTTCAAGGTCACCGCAAATCGATCCCACAAACATCAAACGTTCCGACAAAGCTGTCGCTTCTCGGCGTTTTGTTATTCTCGGGTTAAACATTAATAGATATTACTTTATCCACAACTGGTATTTTATAAATCAATTCTAAACTTGCAAATGTCTGATGACATTTTAATGTCAGACCACAGCTGGCTAATTTTTAAAATAAACTTAATGTTGCCAACCTCTAGGTTTATATACCTAGGCCATAAAACGAAAAAAAAATCAAAATCTGTCTACGTCTAGCAAACTATATTGTAGACAATAAGAAAATAAGATGTTTAATATCTAGCTTCTCTCCATTTAAATTCACATAACCTGACGGTATCTATTCTGCCCTACTTCAGTGGGGTCTGGAAGAACTCACATTGCACCTGTTAGCAATATTTAGATCCGCGTTGGCTCTGAGGTATATACCTCAAAAATGGAGAGAAGTAAAAGTAGACTTTTCCTAAACCTGTAAGGATGGATTATACTGTTCCAAGAACATACCGACCAGTTAGCTTAACATTGTTTTCCATGAAGAAATTGGAAATGCTATGCGAAGGTACATAAGGGATGTGGTGATTACAACAACACCTAGTTGCTGTCCAGATAGGGAGATCCCTGGACTATATATAGTCCTCCTTGGGTGTTTTCGTACTACCTTAGGACAGACCTGGGGTCTATCCTAAGAATCTTTGAATGGATTTACGCAGCCATCATAAGACCCATACTAAAATACGGTGCATTTGTCTGAGTACCGAAAACCCAAAAATTGACAGCTATCCGCAAACTACAAAAATATCAAAGAACAGCATGTCTTAACATAACAGGAGCCATGAAAATCCCACTGACCAGAGCCATGGAAGTCATTCCTAGTCTCACTTCCCCTGATATTTACATCAACGAAGTTGATAGTGACACGCCTTTGCACGGTTGGAATAGAACCTGTCGTAGGATCTGGTGAGGCGAGACGTTGCTTTTGACAGGCAGTACTCAATACCCTCCTACTTCTTCAAACGAACATTTCACCGAGATATATCTTCTATAAGCCTTATAAAGTTGTAACGGAATAAACTGAAGAGCTGGAAGTGGCAGGTACGATTCATATATACACCCACGGTTCTATAACAAAACAAGGATCTGGATGTGGAATATACTCCAGATCCTTAAACCTAAACAGTGTGAGCAGTACAAATATAATACTACAGTTCGGGACACACCGAGAATGCAGTATGGCCAGGCATAGGCAATGTATTTCCAATGAGAAACCAGCACACTGTGTTGTCGTCTTTCCGATAGCTGTGACAGGGTCGGACCAGTAAGAGTTCATGGTTGCATACATGGGAACCGTTTATCGGTTTTAAAGTCTAATGGGACGCCTTTTTGCAGAAAGAATGCAATCCACATTTTTAGTCATTCGCATAATATTGCATTAAGAACCGTAACCTTTACTGCAAATAAAAATCCAGGCCACATCTAGTACCTAGCTTTATCTGTTAGCTAATGAACCAATTGACTAAATTGGTCAAGCAAGTAACCTGCCTGCAGAAGCCTGCTCTCTATGAGAGTGAGTATTAAGTATTAAAAATAGGAAAACGAATATGAATGATAATATTTAAATATCTCAACGAATTCTTCTGATGACAAAAGCTATTGAATTGGAGAAGGAAAGCCCAATCTCTTTGGTCAGGTAAATCGTATATTAAGATATAAATAGAAAAATGGATGCCGAGAATAAAAAAATAGGTAAGAGTCGTCTTGATAAAACAAAACCATTTTCAATTTTTTAAAAAAATAAATTTTAAAGATAACATAATATGCTGCATTATATATCAAAAAAATTAATGGGTAGTTCAGCATTATTTAAAGACTTGCTAATATCACTGTGTTTTAAGAACTTATTAAGAGAAGTTGTGCAAAATTATTTTTTTTTAAACATTTCGTCAACTTTGAATGCCATTTATAATATTATTGGAGGGAATGATAATTCGCCACAATTCTGTTTAAGAACGCTATGTAGATTGATGAAAGATATTGGTAATGGTTATGTGAAGCGTGGTCGTAAAATTATAATTTAGAACGAAACAATATCATTTATTGGCTACACACGTATTTAAGAGCCATCAAACAATATCGCTAACAAAATTGTAACGTTATCTATTTAGATGAGATTTGGGCCAACTTGGGTCAAACGTTTAACTATGCATGATGTGATAATACCATAAAAAATCGTACAGATGCTTTTATAAAGGATTTACCCAAAGGCCTTAAAGCACCTACACAAAGAGGTCCACGTTTCGTTATTGTTCATGCAGGATATGGTGGTTTTTTACCTGGCGCCGCGCTTGTTTTCATGACGAAATGAATGCCAACTATTTTGAGCAATGGTTTGAGGAGTCGCTAATTCCTAACTTACTCAAAAATGGACAAAAAAACGTTATTGTTATGGATAACGCTTCGTATTATTTCCTTAAATTTAGTTTTCCAGCTTCCACATGAAACAAACCCGAAATAAAAAATTGTATGTATAAAAAATATATTTTTTCTTTGACGCCCCTATTTAAAATCTGAGTTGCTTGAAGTTGTTAACGCATCCAGAGAGCAATAGGACAAATATAAAATTAAGGAAATAGTTGCAAAATACGAGGTAACTGTTTTAGGCTAACCGAGGTATCATTGAGAGCCTAATCCGATCGAGATGGTATGAAATCAGCAGATCAATTCTTGACCACTAGAAAATTTCAAGGTCACTCGTAAAGTCTAATATTACGAAAAAAATATCAAATTGTGTTGCAAGTTGGTATTATCAATCGTAAACTACTTGCATGTGCGTTTAATGCATTGACTTATGTCATGTGTTTAGTTATTAATTTAAAGGATTTTTTTTTAAAGGGAGGACTTGGAATATACTCGTATTTGACTTACTTAAAACCTTGAAGATGTGGTTATACCATGGTTATACTAGTGCAGAGACATAACTCGTTCCAGAATAATAATGTATTTGATATTTTAAGTATGTGCAAACATTTAGAATTTCAAAAGAATTGTGTCAATTTTTTAATAAATACTCTCATATGATTAAACATAAACTAACATATTTTATTTATTTGGTTAAGGGCATTTCTTTTAACCTCTGAGTAAATGTAAGAGAAAATACGAAAAAAAAAAGAAGGGTCGCTGATAATCTCCAAGGCAACGTCGATTAAATCAATATATGAGTAAATTTTGGCGACAGTTCTGAGAGTAACCTTCCAGACCTCGACGATGACTGACAATGACTTATCGATTACGTAAAGTTTGTTTATTATTTCATAACTTATAAAATTGTAATTTTGAAATCCATAGTTTATTATTTAATAATAAACATACAAGTTTTGAGATAAAATTTAAACCCATGTCGAAATTTGCCTGAGATCGTACCTGTTTTTTGTTTTGCTGATAGCAGCATGACGACGGCTGTCAACAACATGCTTTATAAGACTTCACACTGCATTGTCAGTGTGTCTCACACTATAGTAGATCACGAAACGTTGACAATCTTAAAAGTTTCTCAAGTGTACTTTTAATTTTTATTTAAGGTTTCTTTATTATTTTAAATAGAAACCATAATAAAATTAATTATTTTTAAAATTGTAAAAAACTTAGTTTAATACTTACATCTACAAACGCATTATTTTCAATGGTTCCTATAGAATTCTCAGATAAATCAAGATATTTCAATCCATGGACATGCTGAAAAGCATTACTTTTTATTGTTTGCAAATTGCCAAAATTAATATTTAATTCTTCCAAATCAACTCCATACTCAACAAAATTATCTGGGGATAGTGTTGGCTGGTTCAGCCTCGATATCGTGAGTGTTCTTAAATTTCTTAACCTAAAAGTTTTACATAAAATTATTCACTTAATAATGTAGGTTCAATGAAGGGAATATTCATTTCGTTTAAAATTCTTTAAGCATGAAATTTCCTGCAATTACATAACATCTTGTTATTTGCTTATACAGGGTGAGTCGGGAGGTGCGCAACAAACTCTAGAAGTATATTATACACGTGAAAATAATGTAAAAAAAACTCATATGTTCTTATCCAATTTTCATTTGTTTTCAAGTTATGGCGTAATTAAAAATGTTCATCTAGCTTTCCACTTCTGAATTTTAACATTATCAAAGTATGCCATATGTTCAAGGCTCCTGCACATGTCGCTCGTCAGGTCAAGCAACATTTGGACGAACGTTCTCCAGGGCGTTGGATTGGTCGTGGAGGTCCTATTAATTGGCCTGCAAGATCTCCAGACCTCACACCATTAGATTTTTGTTTATGGGGCTGGATGAAAAATGAAGTCTACAAAATAAAAGTGGACACACGGGATGCACTAATTAGACGAATTGAGAATACTGCAGCCCATATTAAAGAAGAAAGAAATGAATCAATTAGGAGAGCAACAAACGCTCTTCGTAGACGAAGCAGAAAATGTTTAGAAGTCAATGGAGGTATTTTTAAACATTTATTGAAAGAACACTATGATTAAGAGAATTTTTATGTGTAAATTTGTTTATTTCTTAATATGCTATAACTTGAAAACAAATGAAAATCGGATAAGAACATATGAGTTTTTTTACATTATTTTCACGTGTATAATATACTCCTACGGTTTGGTGCGCTCCTCCCGACTCACCCTGTGTATTTTAAAGTCGGTTAAATTAAACAAATAAGAGAGGCGTTATAGATGACATGAGCAGAACAAAAATGTAAACCTGTCTATCCACAGGGTTTAGCAACGACCGTGCAGTGGTTCGACGCGATCTTTTTTCAAGCAATTATTATTTATAATAAACAGTTTTTATAAATTAGTAATGTGCCGCGGGGTGGGACTTAGTACACACCCCACCATAACAATACTAGAGCATTTTCAAGAAAAAGAGAACTTAATTATATCCTGGAAAAAAATTATCTGGAATATAAAAGGGAAGAAAGTAATAAATAAGGCCACAAAAGCCCTAAAGGTATTGCGGGAAAAGGTGTTTCCAGTTATTACTTAAAATGCTGTAGTGGCTAAAGCCTGAAGTAACAGACATAGTTAAGCTACTACGAGATCTAATATCCCAAAGGTACAAATACTATCCGTTTTTGCATCACCGATACAATAGGAAGTGATTTTGTATCTTATACTTCTACATTTAATGAGAGAACGTGGAAAAAGGGCCAGAAACGGAGCAATTAGACCCAAGTCTATTAGTTTTAGGGCTAAAGATACTTAGGATATGCCGCACAACGAAATGAGAAAGATATATAGTTTTGTAAAAACTTCAAAACCACGGAGCTAGACTGCAAGAAAAAATGAAGTTAAGAAATCCTAAAACCAAACACCATCTAATTTAGTAGTATAGAGACAGTTCCAAAACTACATAAGAAACTGGAGTAGGAGTGTATGGGCCCACTACTAAGTACTCTGAAAATTTCAGTAAATACCCAAGCATCTTCAAGGTCCAAATTTACTCTATTGAATAGTTCAACATCAATAAAATCTATCCTGGGTGGAAGACGATTATCGTATCCGATAATCAAGGAGCCTACAAAGTGTTGAGCTTTTACATAATTACCTCAAAAATTGGTCTGAATAACCTGAATAAATGGATAATATGGTCACTTGGGTCTCAGAAGACAACGGGATAAATAATAACGAGATTGCAGCTAGTATCGTAAGAAAAGGGAGTCTTTGTGGGACCTAAAATTTTGTGGAAATAGCAGTAAGACTATTAGGAGAGACTAAAAAAGAATGAGGTAGTAAAAAACGCTCTCCTTCTGGAGTTAAGATAGGCTTAGACAGGCTAAGATAATTCTGTGTTACTATAAATAGGGACGATCGAATATATGTATCTGTCTTAGCCATAACAGGCTACACACACTAACTGGGATCCTTACTGGGCATTGTCTTTTTAAAAGACACCTTATGTCCAGGATCCGTAAGTAATGTCGACCTTCACCCATCTGTTTAATGAATAAAAGTTTTTTTTTATTAAATAAAATATGTATTTAAATATACCGCGAATTGGTTGCCTAAGAAAATACAGTCACCGCCATTTTTTACTTTCCTTTCTGTGTATAAATAAGAAAAGTATAGGAGTCATGATAAAACTTTATTATGATGTCATTGTCTAATATTGTGTCCCTATACATGATTTACCTAAAATGTACTTAATTCGAGACATTTGAGGAAAAATGTAATTTCGAATTTTGAAGGTAACTCAAAAACGGATAAATACCAAACACCAAATTTTAACTGAAGCTTTAACCCATCTTGCAGTGAGCAGATTAAAGTTTAAGCATAGTCGGAGCATCTGGGGAATACTTTACAGGGTGTCGTTTTTTTTACTTAAAGAAAATAAATAGTCTGGACCGTATTTTCTTAGGAAACCCATTTGCGGTATAATTATAAACATATTTTATTTAATAAAACGAAACTTTCATCCATTAAGCAGATGGGTAAAGATCTACCTTACTTCGGGTCTTAGACCACTAGTAAACTGGAATACAGATTCTAGGAAGAAGGTGACAAAATTTCCGTTCACATTTTAACTTGAGTATAGCACTACAGAATCCAAGGTTACTATACTCAGGACCACACCAAATAGGAGAAGGTGATTTATCCAGCTTGGAACTCCCCAAAATCCTACATTTCCTTAGGAATACATGATATGTATCGTTATACACATCGGTACTATTTCCTCCGTACGTTAGCGACAGACAACTTATTAAGACGCAGTGTGTATATACTTCATATATAACATAAAAAGTTTATATTGTGTGCTTTTTCTGTTTAATATACGGTGTTTTCCAAAAACTTTTATTCAAATGGGAAAAAGTTGTGTCTTATCTCCAAAATATTTCGGATTAAAAGTTCACTTGGGAAAATCCATAATCAATCATTAAATTTTGTAAAATATTGGCAGTATACAGGGATAATAAAAATAATAATTTGTAATGAGTTATTAATAGTATATATCGAAATTCAAACATGTATCTCGGAATTTCAACTTGTATCTCGAAATTCCAACACACAAATCAGAACTCCAAGTTACAAGTCAGAATTCCAAATCAGAAGGCCGAAATCAAAATCTTGATATTTAATAAAGACCTAGACTAAATTTGAGATAGAGCACATTAAGTCTGCGGAAAAGAAAACAAGTAGTTACTTATAAAAGACTGTATGTATTCTTTGTGTTTGTTTACTATTTTTGTACTATTTGTGTATTAGATTAGTACTATTATTTGTGAACTATGTGTAGCTATTTGTGTATTATATCTGTAAGACCCCCACTCCCGATATTGACATTCAAACAATCCTTAGCCTTTTATTAATAAAAAATATATGCTAAAAGGCTAATGGCTATGGCTTCCTTTGAAAACTTGCCCTAGAGCCGCCTTTGCTATAGTTGTATACTATTTGGATAACACGTGTACTGTTTGTGTATTATTGGGACACAATGTGTACATCATTTTACCCAGCGGTTTACCCCTCTGGTTTACACGTCAGTAGCAGGTCAAAAAATAAATTTAAAAAATGCATATACGACAAAAAAATATAAATCATACGACGAGACTTAACACGTTAAGCACCACGTCTAATATGTTTACTATTCCAAAAAGTTAATATTTTTGAATTAATTAAACACTTATATTCATGAAAATGTTTGTTAAAACCACCTCTTATAGAAAAATTATTAGTTTCTTTTTTTTACAAAAACACTAATGTACGCCCTGGTCTAGTGGGAAATATATTAGCCGACATATTATCAGTCACACCATCACGTGCCATCTAAACTGTTTTAAAAATTGTGTTAATTGTGAAAATAACCACATTGTTGTCTAGAATGTTTTACAGCAAGTCGCCAATACTAAAACATTTTTGCTACTTATTTTGACTTACTTATGACCTTTACATTTATAAAAATGTTTTGTTAGATTTGTAAGAATATCATCATTTTCAGATGTTTTTATTTAATATTGTCACCTGAAGTTTGAGTTTTCTTAAATACAATAAATAAAATTCAATAAAACATAAAAAACCATCCGTTTCATTTTCCCTGTATTTTATAAGTTATAGGCCTGAGTAATGGAAAACTTTCGCAGCAAAGTACATATTATGTTGGCAAACATATTGCCAGAAGTACTCAATGTAAACAGTCGATTACTGCTAACCGCCGTGGCCTTGTATGAAATATCAGTGTCAGTCACCAGTAACCTCCGTGGCGCTCAACGTGTTAAAAAGAATAAAGACTTTAGTCTAGTACCGTGCTGTTGATATTAAAAAAACAGGAATAATTTTTAAATCAACAAGTTACTTATTCTTTACTATTTATTGTTAGGAAGTCCAATGTCCCTCCTAAATGAAATATGGGAAAATGTTTAAAATAAAATTTATTGGGTTTATTTTGTTGGATATTGCGAAATTTTCAGGGTGTACAATTATATCGGGATACATTAAACGTCGATGTTTTTAAAAGACGCACCGTGTATATTTTTACGCCAATAATTTTAGCGTAAAATATAATGTTACGTCTAATATCAAGTTTCATTTTTTTAATAATGCGATCGGGTCAATTTATGGCAAAAATGTGAAAAATTAATGAAAAATTTTTCGTGATAATTATTATAAAAAACTTTGTTATTGCCAGTTAAGTCAAAATCCTTGGTAATACAAATATAAGGCTTACATGAAACGTCTGAGAGAATAAAATGTTTATTTTCTTGTACAGGAAATTATCTATAGGAGCATTGAATTGTTTGTTAATTTTTAAAATTCTAAAGTTTTATTTTTCACACAGTAGATTATTTTACTGTCTTATTTTTATAATCAGTAATAGTTTCTGACAATTTTTTTGTTTTAAAATTAATAGAGATAAGAGAATTATTGGATTTTGTCGCACTAATGGCCACCCTGTGTATATTAAGTTTGAAATAATGGTTATGATGTAGCAATGTTCTTATTGTAATTGGACTCATAAAATATTATTTTAATCATCATTGCTTACCTCCTTAAATCTTGAAGTGATATCTGTAATTTCTCATTTCCACTGAGGTCCATATTATACAAAGTAAACTGAAATCCGTTAAAATCTTCAAGAGGATTTATCTTATGCAAAACATTATCACTTAGTAATATTGTTCGTAATATTTGAAACCTATTAAAAACAGCTTCCGGTAATAGTGATATATTATTTCCAGAAAGATCTAAAATTTCTAAGAAACTTTCTAATCCTTCAAATGCTCTAGGATTTACTTCTGATAAACCACATCCTCTTAAATAGAGTTCTTTTATTTTGGCCTGCCTAAAAGCGTTTTCCTAAAAATATTTGTAAAGTTTTTTAAACATTTCTATTCACAACACAAATAAATTAAGGATTTAAACCATCTAAAATCGTTTCATACTAAATAAAATATTTATAATTTATTAATATCCATATATCTAGAAAATATTAATTTTATGTAATGATAACAGAAAAACAAAATTTATTCAAAAGTATTCTTTATAATCAGGATTCTATACTAAAAATGCATTTTTTTAGTTTTGATTTTTCCCATGTGGCCGTCATTCAATTTTATTTATGTTCACTTTCTTATAATTTATAAATTTTACTTGCTTTAACTATCTTCAAATGATAATAAAATAGAGGGTAGAAATTGGAATTATGTGAAAATGCAAAAAATAAGTTTTTTTATTTTTATTTTTGCTTTTTTTGCATTTACTGCGCAGATATAGGTATAGGAATTGCTTCATATAAAAAAAAGACTAAATTTCCTTTAGAATAATTGAATAAAAAGTTTTTGGGATACAAACTGACTAATATAGCTGCTCAGACTTGCCTATTTTTTATTTTTATAGCGTTTACTTGATACCGTTTTAATTCTTATATTTCTATATCAAAATTGATTTCTATTTATTAAAAAATAAAATAAGTTAATTTTTTATGAAAAATTCAATATAAGTGTGTAAAACTATGATCGATTTATAAACAAACACAACGTTTAAAAAAAAATTGTGAAAATTATAAATACAAATATTTTACAATTAAAATCTTATATGGACACTTTTTTATTCGATAATGCAACTGAAAAATAAATAGAATTTGCATCAGAATACATTTTATCTACTCTATATGGGGCAAAGTTAAATAAACCCTTAAGCTTTTATGCAAACTATCAAAAAGTACAAAATTTTCTCTTGTTCATTAACGGACAAAACGCGATGTCACCAAGCACAATAACTAGTTTAAGAACATATATTTCCAAATGCAGTAGTGGAATGTTAATCTCCTAAACCCTCTAAACTGGGGTGAAAAAAATTAAAAAATAGATTGCGATTTGCACAAATGAATCACCTGTGTCAGAGAGTTAGTTTGCTTAAGAAATTGGCTTGTGGATATACTAAAGGTTGCCACGGTAGCTGTGGTTGTAGGAAGTTAGGCATAACTTGTTTAATATTTTGATAACAATGCATGGATGTCAATTACCTAAATGTATGAGAGAGATAAATTACAGGAGACGATGTTCTTAAAGACATGGATAAAGAAATCGGTGTCCCATTTGATAACATTATTGAAGAGATATAAAACAATGAAAATAATAAACAATGAAAATAATGAACAATAAAAATAATGAACAATGAAAATAATAATAATTGAAATATATAATAACTTTTTTTGCAAAGAAGACAATTAATTTTTTTTAGTTAGTAAAAACAATTTTTAAGACTAATTAGTTGTGACTTTATTTATAACAGATTTACATTTTCGTAAAAGTATTAAATTTTTGTTAACTTTTAGTAACTTAAAATCCCGTAATGTTTATTAAAAAAAAACTAAAACTATATCAACGTAAACGCCATAAAAATCTTATAAATAGCTTAAGTTTGAGGGCTATATCTCAGTCCGTTTTTATCCAAAAACTTTTTCTAACTAACCATTTTAAAGTAAATTTATTCTACTTTTTTCATGTATGGAAATGCCTATACCTATCGCTGCGCAGAAAGGGCAGAAAAGCTAAAAGGTAAAATAAATTAGATAATGTTGTTTTCCATAATTAATTTTTTTTTTATATTTTTTTTGCATAAAAAATTTTTAATGAAATATTTTAATATAAAATCGCATTCCCTACAAAAAAAATCCCATTAACCTGTACGTGAATTTTGCTTCGTTTTCGAGATAATTTAAAAACTGTAAAAGTTGCATCTTCATCCCTATCTCCAAGTTCCACCCTCTAATTTAATAGCACTACGCGGTTTTTCATTTTTAATGACTATTTGAATAATTTATAGGATAAAAACCCATAAAGATAATCGTTCATTTCTATATGACATAAACAATTGCCTATTAACAAAGCAGCTTGCTAAATCGTGTCAACCATTTTTGTAAATAATTGTAATTTTGTTTTTTCTTTTCCCATAATGAGAACCATTAACTAATTATTTTGAGTTTTTGTTAAAATGTTTGTTTTTCTAAAAATAGTATTAGAAAAATTATTACTGAAAAACCTAAAAGTGAAACGATTTACTCTACCTTTGTGCTGAGCGACTTCGTCAAATGTAACTTACTTCTAATGTAATAATTGGATTTCCATCTAAATAGGTTTTATTCAAAACATTAAAATATTGAAAAGACATCGGTTCCAAAATAGTTATCTGATTAAAGTCCAATTTAAAAGTATCCAAACTTAATTGATAATTAAGGTTAATGTTGACCCCTGGTTCAGATGAGGGTTCCATTTTATTAATCCGATTATAACTAAGATCTAGAGTTTTTAATAGTCTCAAAGGTTGTAGAGCTTGATACGGAATAGAACTTAGTTGGTTATCAGCGAAAATAAGATGTGCCAGTCTTCCCATGCCATCTCTAAAAACGGATGGATCTATATTTCTTAAGTTGTTTCCGCTTAAATCTATGGTTTCTAAATTTGGTAGCCCTGAGAATGAGTCAGTTGGTACGTGATTTATTTCGTTTTCTGCTAAAATAAGGACTTCCAAGGAACGTTCGATTCCTCTCCAGTCTTCAGGTGATATTCGGTTAATATCATTACCTAAAAATTATTATTTTAAATTAGTTTATATGTCTATATCAACTTAAAGTAATGCAATAATAATTTTACAAGCGATATTTTCATTTTAAAATTGTAACTATAAAAATATTACAAGAGTGTGGAAAGTGACACTTTTCACACGAGTGGGAAATATTGTCACACGAGGGAAAAACCGAGTGCGACAATCACGCGAGTGTGAAAAATCACTTTTACACAAGTTTTTTTCCTACGACCACAAAATAATTTTATCAAAAAAAAAAAAATGTAAAACTAGAAAATCTGGCTATAAAAGTTCCATCAAGATGTGGCTGGTTCTGGATTTGTTTTTAATATGCCTTATTAAATAATTTTTAAAGCGTTTTATAGATAGTATTCTGTCAAAATTAAAAATATTGTGATTCCATTTACAAACAATTTCATTGGATGATAAAGGTAAAGTAACATTAGTGACAAAGAATACATTAATGTTTTTTTATTAGCTTATTTTTTTTTAAATAAGTTGAACAACCGTAAACAAAAACATTTTTTATTATTAATAGTTACCCGCTTCTTTACTCACGATTTTTTTCTAAACAGTAACTAAAATAGTACAAAATATTGTAGAGGTTATACCTAATATATGATAAATAAAATGTATTTTAAATAAACAACAATATTCATTTTTCCAATTTTCATATTTTTTCAAAACAACAAAAAATAGAAAAAGATAATTAAATGGGAATTTAACTAGCGCGGCATCATGAAATGATAACAAAATGCCAAGTTGAAAAATTCAAACAAAATCAAATTATATTAATACAATGGTATTCATTTATTCGCAGTCCTGCTGCTGGCTTCTAAGACGATGTCATGGTCGATTTCTTAACCGTTGAATACTCCTAGCTAATTTATTCATTGATTTGATTGTACTTGTATATGTATGTGTTTGTTATAGTCTTTGTTGGTTAATACGCGTATTTAGTGGAAACTTCACAGATTGAGGAAGGTCATAGTACTGGATGCCACCAGAAGAACCAGACCGTCAACGTCATTAATATCCATATTCCATAAGAATAACACAGGGGTCATTGAAATTATTCCAGCATAATTTTAAAAATGAAAGCAATTTAATCATTTAACATATTAGAGCATATGGATGGTAAGGTAATAACGTTTATATGTTTCTCTATTAATTTCATAATTATTTTTTTTAGGAAAATATTTATTTGTCTTAGATTTGAAGAATTTTAAACCAGCCTACTCAAACCCTGTTTTTAAAGTGGATATAATTTAAGTAATTGACACATTCAAAGCATATAAACGGTAAGTTGATGACCTTTACATGTAATTCTATCGATTTCATATTCTTTTTTTTTTTAGGAAAAATTCTATTTCATCGATTTGAAAAACTTAAACTTTATTCTTGATTATAAGAGTAAAAATAATTTAATATTTGCAAGATGAATCAATGCCTGGGTCCGTCCAGAAAAGAAGCAGATCAGACATATATCGAGGGCCACAAGGCAGGACCCCTTAAGCCGCAAAATCGACATTTTTCAGATGAAAAAATGTTTTACTTATAGATCAATTTATTTTACTCTAAAATAGGACTAATATTTACCCATGTCTTGTTCAAAAATTGTAATACTTCCCCTATACAGTAGATGTAGCGAAATGTTTTAAATGCATAATGTCTTCCTTTATTTCTAGAGGAAGACAATATGTATAGAAATTATTTTATATGCGTAGTATATAGTCTGTTTTGGGGGGCGTGCATGAACTGGGCACTCTAAAAATCATATTGCAAGGGTTGCCTCAGGTACCTGCGAAATTTTTCTCGAATTGAGCACTACCCATGGGATTATCCTTTTCCAGCCTCTTTACCTAAATAATTTTCTAATATGTGACAAAATCAAATTAGTGTGGGTAATTATCTTAAACCCCTCCTTAATAATTTTCTAATGTTTTAAACACAAACAAATTTGTATAATAAGTAATGAAACCTCAAAATCAAAAATTAGTTCTGATTATATCTTCTTGGTTAGTAAGTACTTGCAAAATAATTTGTTGGTACCTAAATTTGTGTTTTACAACATGGAACAGAGTTTTATTTAAGTGAACGTGGAAAAGAGTTTCTTGTGTTAGACGAAGCAAAATTTAGTTTTTGCAAAATGTTAGAAAATATATTTAGACGATACCTTCAACTATTGTTTGAAGTTCTTCTTGCAGTTATTTACTATACATATTCATAATAACGGATATTATATTCCGTTAGCATTTTGCGTATTGCCTGATAAAAACTCAAAAACATGAAAATGTGTTTATTGTATTAAAACAGTTATGTTTCAATAATATTTTTATTTTGAATCCAAAATTTTGTGTATTAGATTTTGAAATAGGTATTCATAAAAGCCTTAAAAGTGTAATGCCAAATATAAAATTGATAGGATGCCGATTCCATTTAGCCCAGTGTTGATTCAGAAAAATACAGGAACTAGGTCTAGTGACCGAACATAAAAGTGCAAGTAGTGAATTAGGAAAATGGCTAAATTATATATTTGGTTTGCCATTTTTAGACCATTCCCAAGTAGAAGACTGCTATATTTTTGACTTGATGGCAATTATACAGAACGATTCTCGAGTTATAAAATTTTCCGATTATATTGTAAAAAACTATATTGAAATATATTCCACTTTTCCCCCAACCTTTGGCAGAATTCAGTGCTAATATGGACAGAACAACAAACGCGTGAGAATCATGTTATTCGCGATTTAACGCAAGTTTTTATAGAACACATCCATCATTATATATTTTTATACAGAAAATGAATGATTTTCAGACAGTCACATACATAAAATTACAAAGTTTAAATGAGAAAATGAGGATAAAAGATCCAGTAACAAGATGTAGACATGAATATTTAAAATTGAAAATAGATAATTATACAAACGACGAGAAATTTAATTTCGTAAAATGATTAGGTTATTTTTATATGTAGTTTTCATATTATTATGTATTATGTACTATTATTGAAGTTTTTATTATAATATGTTGAATTTATTTAAAAAAAATGTACCTATTTATTGAACTTGTAATAATAAAGTAGTTTTTAAATGAATTAGATTTTTTAGTATTAGATAGATTTTGGTTCCATTTCAAAGAGTCAACATCAGTAATATCAGTGTCGCAAGGTAAGCCTAATCCAGTATGGTTTGCGATTTAGGACCGCCCGCCGAGGCGCCGGTCAAACAAGCCTTAATTGTTGATGCCCAGTTCGAGTAGTGAGCAAATTTTTAATCCTCTATTGAGTGTGCGGTTCAAGTAAACCTATTATATTCTCAGGTAGATAGTGCCCGATTCGAGGCCGCCGGTTTTGGGCTCCCTGGATGCTCAGGATTAGCCGAAGACACCAGTTTTAAGATCTTTGTACTTTTTGGAAGTGGGTATTTGCCATCGAAGAAAAGACTGGACCTATGGAGGTCAGAATAGGCCCTTGTCTGTACAATAGTAATTTGTTTTCTACAGTAACTTTACTATTTCGGTTTAAAATTGGGTAAAGTATTCTTACCATTTGGTTTACTCTGTCTACTCTGTTCAGGACATGTTTTTGAAGGTCAGTTTCCTATCTAAATGAAATCCAAAATATTTAAATGTGTCTTTTTCAGTTATTTCCTGGTTACCTGCTTTTATTTTGTTAAAAATTCTGCTGTTATTATTATTAATATTATTATTATTATTTTGTTTGATTTATTGAAAATAATTCTATCCGTCTTACTCTCGTCGATTTTTGTTTTATTTTCGTTTAGATATGGCACCAGCATTCTGTTAACGTAGATGTCCAGTCTCCTGTTCGCGATCTTTGGTGTTCTTGAAGTTTTAAAAACACAGGTGATCTGCGTACAACGCCGTCTGTACTCCATTATGTCCCATTGGCATCTCATGGGTCATAATAGTGTACAAATGCGGCTAGAGTACTGAACCCTGAGGTACTCCCGCTTTTGCTGTATAAGGTCCGGTTCTTGTCTTAATAATTTTGATGTAAAATTGTCTGTCTTGTAGATATGTCTGAATTGTTTTTACAATGTAATTCATTCATAAACATCTCGTGAATTAGCCCGTCGCGTCGGCCCAAACGGTGTCGAATGCTTTTTCTATGGCCACCATGACCATTTGTATTCTGTTATTGAAGGCTTTTTTAGCACTATTGGCTATTCCTATGATCTGTGCCACTATACTCTAAATCTGTACTGTTCCAACGGGATGATTGGGTTGTCTGTTTTATATGTTTTTAGTCTGTCGAGTATAATTCTGTTGGTTATTTTCGCGATTTCACTCAGCAATGATTTTGGGCGGTAGCTTTCTAGGAAATTTTGATTTTTACTGGCTTTTTTAATTGGTATTATGTTTGCCACTTTTAGTAGGTCTGGGTAGTGATTTAATTTGAGTATTGTGTTTTTGATGTTATGTAATAGTAGATATGCTTTTCTCGTTAGTTTTTTAACAATAACATTGAAATTTCGTCAGGGCACGGCGCCTTTTTGTTTTTTAACCTTTGGGTTAGTAAATTGTGTACTTGGGACTTTTTGGATACCCATTTCCCTAATATCTTTTGCTATTTCTGTAATTTCCTGCTGTCTAGCTGTCTTTTGACGAAACTACCCTGAAACAATTCGCCGAATGCTTCTTCTTTCTTTTTGTCTGTCCTGTAGTCATGTTTCAGTGCGAGGAGTTGCGAAAAGGGCTTTTTAAACCGATTTGAAATTATCCACACTGAGTTGTCTTGTGGGTTTATTTCTTTCAGTAATTCTTGCCATTTTTGGTTTTTTATATCATTTATTTCTTTGTTTATGGCTTTATCAATGTCCATGAGTCTTACCCTGTCTTCGGATTGTCTGTTTTGTTGCAAGCGTCTGCGTAGAGTGTTTTTATTTGTAATCATGTCAAATTTGTCTTATGGTAGGTCATCTTTGAATGTTTTGTAGTTTTTTAGTATAGTCGATCTGTCTCTAGCTGTTGTTATGGCTGAAATGAATGTCTTTACTTCTTTCTCTAGTGATTATGTGTCTGTTATGTTGTTAATTATTTGAAGTTGAAAAAGTCAGAAACTAAATCATTTACGCTGTCACGGCTTTGTAAATTAACTTTTCTAATTAAATATATGTGAACCAGAAAAAAGCAAACATAATGTAGGTAGTTACTTTAAAATTATTTTAATAATTTGGTAAAAACAAATATCTGAGAACTATTTTTAAAAAATAATGTTAAAAATCTAATCATCAAATCGATTTTACTATTAAAATGGACATTACATCAATCAAAATAGAAATTAGAGGTCTGACTTATTTGACAGCTTATGCGGAAAGTAGATTCATATTCACACACGTGTGGAAATTAAATTTATGCACACACGTGTGATATAGGGGACTTCCCATAGGACTAAATAGTGGAATAGGTATCACTTTCCTAAGTGGTCGAAGGAAACATACTATTACATAGAATTAAAAATGTTAATACAATTATTGGCATCTCTTGATTGTCTTATTTAAATATAATATTTCTGATGAAATGAAACTAGTTAAATATTGCGTGTTTATTTAATTAGGCACTGGTAAGAGGTTCCTTGATAAAATTGGTAAAAGAGAAGGATCACAAATCAATTAATATCTTTAACAGATCGCCCCAACATTGTTACCTTGGTTGAACCACAGATGAAATTGTGCCTGTTGAAGTCGCCTAAAATAATTTTTTGTGGTGGAATTTGTTGAAAAAGGTTAGAGATATCATTTAAGGTAGAATTTGGATACGGAGAAATATATAGGTTGCATTGACTGACTTGGGTAAGACTTTTTAGGTAAATTGACAAATTGGTTTCTTGGAGACAAATTAGAGATGGGTTTAATTCAATTATTAACTTTTTAGGCATTTATAAAAGGATACAATACCCGCTTAGATTCGATTAAAGAATAAAATTGAATAAACTTAGTAATACAAATATAATAAAGCCTTAGTAACTGTTATGAGTCAATACAAAAAAACAGGGTCAGATTCAGTTGGTTTTAGCGAGTGTTGTTTGAGAAGTTTTTATGACACGTTGTTCATCTGGTCTTCATTACATAATCATTTAAAAAACCGGACAAGTGCGAGTCGGACTCGGGCATGAAGGGTTCCGCAACTTCCTACAAGATGTAATACTATGTGCCTAGGTACTTTTTACATACTTTATTAAGATCAAGCAAAAAAGCCAAAAAAACACGTTTCTAGTAGGGGAGCCCCTTAAATTGGTTAAACAAGATAATAGGAAGAATATTGGAATAGTTTCATACGTCACTTTGTCACTGACCCAAATGGTAGGTCTACTGACAGTAAGTGATGATTGGTGATTGTCAATCAGGTAACCAGTGTTAAACAACCCCCCACAGGAGAGTTTTATGATATATGTTGATTCGATGAAAACCGAATCTATTTTTCGAATTTTCGGGATTTTGATCCCTTTTAAATTAAACATTAGAAATTACTTTTAACTATAGATTTATAAAAATAATAAAGTGGTGCAGACTGGCACCGGGATTTCGCTTTCGTCGCGTTCGAGATTCGTTTCTCGACTCTTTTCTTGGTCGCATTTCGCACCCCATATCGTCACATCCCTCACGGTACTCGCGGAGTCGGAATTTGATAGTCAATGTGAGAGATGGCGCAGCATGTATTAAAATTAAAACTTATTTGGTGCAAACAATATACAAGTGATAAAAATAATTCCAATATCACTGGGAAAATGTAAGGAAAGCAAAGGATAATTCTGAAGAAACGTATGCCTAAGGGTTTGCTTTCGCATCCCTATGGCAACACGAACAAAAGTAGAAGGCCGGCAAAACTTTTAAAACTTTACGTCGTTAAATTTTAAATGGAAAATAAAAGATCATGTCATTTTTTAAGTATCATCGCTCTCATCCTCCATTCTTCAGACCAGTACATTTTAAATAATAATTACTAATGAAGTGTAATGAACAATAACAAAACTAAATTATAATTTAAACACAAAATAATAATTTAATGTAATGATACTTACCGCTAAGATCCAATCGTCTTAATTTTTGTAAATATCTTATGGCTCTATTAGGAACAATAGTGAGATCACAGTGGCTTATTTCTAATTCCCATAACGACCTTTCTAAACCTATGAACGCCTCGTCCGAAATTACAGATAATGGATTTCCACTTAATACAATTTTATAAAGACCTACAAATGATAAAATATTGATATTTTCATTGATGGTTTTAAAATCAAATTTTTGTCAAATATAGTTCCAATTTCTAAAAAAATAATTGAGTTACATTACCAGTGCTTTGGAGAAAATAAGGTTCCAATGTTCTCATTTCATTATTTTCTAAATGAAGCATAAACACTTTTGATGTATTTACAGTTTCTGGTATTCGTGGTAAATGGACGTCTTGACATTTTACAATGCCTAGATCAGGCACTGATTTCGAACAACTACATAAAGGATTGAAAAAGCATGGTGGGTAATTAACTAGTTCCAATTCTCTTGCCTCGCTCAGGGAAATCCATATCATTATAACAATGCTTCCGATAACTATAGTGTATCCTAATTTCATAATTTGCATAAGATCCTGAAAAAATAAGGAAAACTCGTACAGATACAGTGAGCACTAAAGCAGGGAACAAATTTAATAAAATGATTATTATTCAAGTAAAAAATTAATGCTCTTAGAGGTCGATTTTGGTTTTAGAGATGTGCATATTTTGATGTACATATGTTTTTATAAGGTCATTACTTTTGGAATTATGACATCATCGGCAGTTTTTAAATGTTACCTCCATTTTTTGATATTCTAGGAGATTATTCTCCTATAAGTTTACAAATACCTTACCTACTCATGAACGTATATGAGTTTGTACTGGTTTGCTTTACGTGTTTGCAGAATAAAATTGTCGGCTTTCTTTATTTTAGAATTTCGTGTAAAACTTTAACATCACTGCATGTTACACATTCATCTATACTTATTAAGATAAAATAAATGGCAGAAAATGCACAACAGCCTGTATTTAACGCTTAATGTAAAGAAAATACAATAAATTTTAACGTGGCGTCCTATCGTCGTTGAATTAAGTAGTTTAACGAATTGGCTTGTTGCGATGAGAGAGCTCTCAGAGTCTAGCGGTGCTATTCTTGAGCGTTAGAAATTTTCAAGGTTACTCGCGATTTATTATATTTCGAACGAAATCCTAAATTTGGTGTTCTTGACCATTTGCACCAAAGTCGACTATTCGTGAAAAACAACGAGTGGCATTTTGCGTGTGTCAATTGTCGAATCGTTCGAGAATATCCAGAAGAAATCAACACGCATGCGTTTAATAAACAACAAACGTTTGTTTTGATTTTTATTTAAGTTAAATATTAAATTGTTTCTGTGCTTTGAATTTCTTTCTCTAGTTCTGAAAATATCTATAATGGATGATTTACAACATATATTCAACATTGAAAATCTTGAAGATGCTGAAGAACCACCACACCCTCCTAATAGGTTTAATAATCCATTTGATGTGTTGATTGAACATCAATTTATTAAGTAAGGTATCTCATTAAATTGTTGACACCTTACATGAGGCCTCAAAATAGAATAACAGACTTATCAATCTCAGCCAAAGTAAGATTAAACATGATATTGTTTAATATTATATTAATAAAGTACCCAATCATTCTAGGTTCTAGTTGCACTAAGATTTTTTGCCTCAGGGGGGTTCCAAATGGATATGGCTAGAAATTTATTTGTGTCAGTTTCCCAACCATCAGCGTCCAGATGTATACAAGAGGTAACATTTGCCCTAAATGTAGATGTAATTTTTAATCAGTGGGTGAAATTTCCAAGAAACTTTGAAGAGCTTAATTCAATAAGGCAAAAGTAAGCAGGAATATACTTGATATTTTATAACTAAAGTACAATTTATACATATAATTTTTTTTGTAGGTTTTATGAAAACCATAATTTTCCAGGTGTAATAGGCTGTATTGATTGCACTCATGTTGCAATACATACCCCAAAAATAAATGATGAACATCCCGAACATGTATATATAAATCGAAAAGGATATCACTCTATAAATGTTCAGCTGATTTGTGATAGCAGACTAAAAATCATAAATGTGATTGCACGTTACCCAGGAAGTACACATGATGCATATATTTGGAGAAATTCAAATGTATTACAGCTTATGAGAAACTTACATACTCAAGGACATGTTGGATATTACCTGTTGGGTGACAGTGGGTATCCTTTAAGAACTTGGCTGCTCACACCCAAAGATCAACAAGAAATGCAATAGAAAGGTGTAATGGGGTTTTAAAGATGAGGTTCAGATGTTTTTGTGAAGATAGAGTATTGCATTACAAACCTGATGTAGCATGCCAAATAATAAACGCATGTGTCATATTACACAATATGTGTATAGAATACAATGTGCCACTAGTAGATGAGGAAATAGTTGATATTGATATGGGCATTTTAAATAATAATGATGTCGATGAGGAGGAAGATAATCCAGCACAAAGGATTAATCCTGAGCTAAGAGCTGGAAGACGAGCAAAAGGAAGATTAATTAGTAATTTTTTTTGCACTAAGAGTAATAATTATGAATATTAATTTCCAAATAAAACAAGTGTTGTATAGATATATTACAATCAACATTTTTTATTTCAATAAAAATATAAAACATATTGCTATTTTATTTATATATGTGCTACAAAATATTGTAACCCACATTACATACCCTACTCTAATGGAGGAAGTTTATTATTTACCTAACTAATTAATAATAGTATGTACACCGTAGTTTTTGTTACCCTAAATATTTTATTGCAGAAATAAATTATGTACAATACAAACAGATGATAAAAGTATGAGAAATACATATATATTTTTAAACTATTAATACTAAATGATTTTTAGGTTTAAAAACAAATCACTAACATGGTGAAAAATATACTACATAAAGAAAATCAATAAAATTGGGAAAAATATAAACAAAAACAACTATATTTATAATAGGTTTGTTCCAACATACACGAAAACCTGTAATATGGTACAAATCATGCACTTTATACAAAAATTGTATACAGCGCATGATTTGTATTATCATTTTCATGTGTGTTGGAACAGACCTTATATAAACAAACACTACATTAAGATATGAAATCGTGCAGTGATTCTACTGCATGTGCCAAGATGCCTATATTTTGAGCAATACCAACTTTTGCTTCTACACTTTTTTGTTTAGAAAGTGCAATATTTTGTTCAACTTTTACAGATGCTTCTTTAGCATCTGCAATTCTTTCTAATGCACATGCAATGCGCTCTGATACAATAATTTTTTTATCATAATACTTGGATTTTAAATTATTTTTATTGTCAAGTGACTCTTTATAATGGCGAGTCGCTTGAGAAGCATAAATTAACTTTTTCCTTGGTGCCCTAGGAAAAGAGTTTTTTATGACCTTTTCATTTTCTGCGGGCTTTTTTGCAGAAGTTTCAGCAATTTCAATATTTGAGCATGTTGGAGTTTCAAGATATGTAATGATAACATTATCAACACAATTTGTATCCTGATGTTCAAATTCGGTATCAGACTCTTTCACATTTGTATGACCTTCAATAGCTACCACAGAAATAGTTTCTAATACTTTATCCTCATATGTGGAAATTTGAGTATTTGTGTGAGGTCCACCTCCAGTTGCCGTACGCAGTCTCCTCAACTCACTGGTCTTAGATTTTGTACGACATCTAATATCTTGCCAGGTCTAAAACATTTATATTTTTAGAGTTATGAAACAAGTTATAATATATTTATAAATACCAACCTTTCTCCATGACTTCCAGTCCTTTCTAGCACCTACACAACTATTGAGGATATTGGATATTTCCTGCCATAATCCCTGGGCATCTTTCTGGGTGAAATCTGGAGAAAATTTTGCCGCTAATAGTTTTGGGTGCCTGGTAATATATTCAAGTAACATATTTTTCTGCTCTGATGTTACATATGCTTTTTTTTTTCATCGTTGCCGGCCATCATGAAACTTTCAATTTTAATATAAAAACGATTAAACCACAAATTTAAACGACTACAAAAATTTCGATGAACTTGATAAATGTATAAAACAACACGTGTCAATAAACAATGAAGGAATGAAAAATGTTGTAACACGAGGATTTTCAGAAAAGAAAGTTAGATAAAGCTTCTTTCACAAAAAGATCACTTCTTTCTTTATTTTAAAGTCATGCAGCCACCTACGGTGTTACTAATTCCACTGTTGCCAAACCAACGCTCGGCTCTGAGCGCGAAGGGTGGTCAAGAATACCAACTCTATCAAGCGTTCGCAAATATACCATTCGTGAATTTGCGAAGGATGTCAAGAATAGCGCACTAGATACCACTATGAATAATATGGGTAGGTTGTCAATACAATAAAATGACTCCTCTTAAGGGTGGCCGCCATGATGACTGGATTATGTTTTCGCAACACTGATTTTTAGTTTTTGTGCTCTATAATAGGTTAATACTGACAATATGCACTTTGTGTTATTATTTGTGAGTGAGTGAGATAAATAATTTGTAGATTAAAATTAGGAACAAAACTTTGACCAACCTTTTCGCTCGTCAAGTTTTGTTCTTAAAATGCTACTTGAACAAGTTTAATTATAATTAAATGAATTCCAATAAAAATTATATAATTTAATTCAATTTTCAAGTAACTTAAAATTATCTATGTTTAGCAATGGAGATATTATATTTAATTTTTGGTATTATATTAAAAAGTTTCTGTTCAATACTAAACTGATTGTATCATCCATTGATGAATACCAAAATGGGATTAAACATAACACCTAATAATATAGACAAGAGATAGTTATTTAAAATTAATTAACTACGAATGTAGGAAAAATATTTATTCCAAAAGGAAGATGCTTAAAGGTAGTGGAGTGGTAATTATCGAAGATTTTACAAGCTTCAGAGTTGAACTTTTAAATGAATCGATAAAAAAGTGTGGACTAAAGCAAGTATCTACTGATGATGGGAAAATTTACGCAAATGTTAATAGTAAACTTGTTTTCATAAAAAACAAAAATGACTTAGGTTAGATAATATTAACTTCCTAAAACTAATGACTAGCTCCATGGTAAAATATTAAAAGGATTCACTATTTAATAACTCTTAAGAGGAAAATTTACATTACAAACTGAAAGACCTGCGGGGCAACGGTAGTTTAGTAGGTATAAAAATTACAATTTAAGGGTGGAGTCTAGATACTACAAAATTACTTCCGAGACTAAACAAAATCCGCATTCATTCATAATTTTAACAATTGCCTGTAGATACGAGGGATACGTATTCCAAACTCTAACGCGCTGAGTTGAGACTCATAGGAACCTAAAAATCCTACAACGGCTGCCGACAGACGTTCGTCAGTTCTTGTTCTTGAGTGAGTCAGAGTTACCTAAATTAGGGGAACCAGAATTATTTGTTTTTCTCGGTGCATTGCGAAATATTGTTATAACGCAGTTCGATTTTTTAGAGGGTTTTACATTATTTTTATATGTTAATTTAGTGAATAAGTTTAGTTAGACTAAATTAGATATAAGAATATAGAATTGTGAAATATAAATACAAATAACGAAAAAATAGACGATTGGTTCGAATAAGGTAATTTAATACAGGGTATTTATTAATTGAGTGCCGATACTTAAGGGTGTGAATCCTTGGGTGTTTAAGTTTTAAGAAAAAAAATAACTATTTAATTTTGCCCAAAAAAAAGTGTTTCCACTCATGGGTTCCTACCAAATTTCAACAAAATATCAAAAGCAGTTTCAATAAACTGGTTTTTATTTTCTTACGCGAAAAGGGTGCGTCGTACGAAAGTACGTCTATAAACCAAATTTGCTCCAAAATAAATAAGGATTTTAAAGATAATTTTTGTTTTTAGAAAAAGCAGTGGCGCACCATATTTTTGTTCAAAAATATTCAGTTCAAACCCGGTACGGACGTCACTAGAAAAAATTTAGAAGTCTTTTACGACAAAAAGGCGGGATTGAAAGTGAAAGTTTAGTCTGTTGGTACATAATATACTATATGTATTTATATATCTAATTTTTATTATTACACTGAATGTGACATGGCTTTTTTGCTTGCCGTTTTTGGATTAACAAAATATTATTTTAATGATTTAAAATAAACTGCCAGTAATAATAATTATCTGTACTTAAACATATACAAAGTGTTCATAAAACAACGCATCAAGAAAGCACCAAATTATTAAACTTTTAATTTACGTAACAAGTATTAAAAGTAATTTTAAAAAACCGACTTTAAAATCGTGGTGATGCCATCACCACATCTTAACCAAATTTATATGGGACCTCCCCTGAGGTACCCCCTTACTAACGAAAAGAATTATAGAAATCGGACAAGGTGGTAAAGAATTATCGCTAAACATACATAAAAAATGAAAAGTTTGAGGATTTTCTCATGGACCCAATTATTAGATTTTGACCAAAATTAAAAGGGACCATCCCGGAAGTATCCTCTTTCCAGCAAAAAAAAGAATCATTTAAATCTGACATTGTGTTAAAGAATTATCGCTGAACATACATAAAAAATATATACAGACGAATTGTGAACCTCCTCCTTTTTGAAGTAGGTTAAAAAGGATATATTAATCTATATTAATTGTATTAACTAAAAAACTACTATCTGTAGTTGTATACATTTTCTTAAATTAATCTTATATGTAAAAATGTGGGTTCGGTTGCTAAAAGAGTACCTACCTAGTTCACTGTGCAGCCAAATTTATATTTATAATACAGAATTTTTTAAATAAATAAAGTTTTAGGTTTAATTGAACACCAAGTTTTATCAGGAATAACATTTTCTGAAAAGAAAAAAGTAACATATAAAAAGCAGACTTTTTGCGAGCCACTATATATATTTTAGAGGACAATCCATATTATTTTAGAAAAATAAATAAAATTTTTGTATAATTACATAAATGTGATTTATCTTTTAGAATATTGTATATATTTGTCAAAGTTTACTATTTTTTTTTAAAAAAAATAAATTTTTCTTAAATTTTTTAACACGGTACAAAATACCTTAATTTGTTTATAGTTATCGATTTTAAACAAAACGGAGACCGGACATCGTCGAAGAGAAACAGCGAAATTAGTAAAGAATTTTAACTTGATTAAAGAGCGTTCTTTCTCTTTCCATTTCCTATAAAAACTAATAGACCTTTCTGAAATCGGTATTCGGTGACTTTTCTTCTGATATGATTTACATAAAAAACAAAAACTGACTTATTATTCTTGTGTAATAAAAATATGTTGTTATTTTCACAATTTTCGACTACTCTTTGTTTCCAAAAAAAGAAATACGATGTTCTTTTGTAGATATTAACACATTCTTTAATTGGCTTTTTATTATTTTTTTTTTTTAATATTCTTTAGTATTTTCATAATTTGGGAAACAGTATAGCATTGAAAATTCTATACCTGAAAAATTGTGAGTACGCTTTTAAATAATTGTCTGTTTTTTTTTATATCACAATGTCTCGGGTAAACAAAGTTACAAAGAAAAAGTTAGTATTCAATATCATCCAGACAAAAAAACAAAAACATGTTTAATAATGAATATATTAAATAAATTATGAGTATTCTTAAACAGAGATATATTTATTTGTATTATGGAAATAATGTTTATGTCAATAAACTTTTGTTCGATATTTCTTTCAATTTATAAAGATAACTCTTGTATAATCATAAGGACTTGCAGATATCACAGTTCGAAATTCTTTTTATTGAACATAATACTTTTTTTGGAATGAAAGCATTAGTTCCTGTTTTTCAGTTAAGCTCCATAAATCAATTCATATTTTAATCTGAACGCAACTTAAGCGCAGTAAAGTTGCAACAACTAAACAATATAGTGAACTTTTCGAAAATTTCTAAGTTAAAATGAAAATTTATATTTAAAATTAAATAAGTTAACTAAAATTTTTGACCGTTATGAAGTTAATAAAGTTATAAATAACGTCGTTACAAAGATTCATGTGTGAATTTTCAATTTCTATTGATGATAGTTACTCATCTACGTATTACAATATCAATACATAACTTGGCTTTGACACAAAACTTCTAATCCGAATCAAAATCTTGAAACTATTATTTGGGGACTTAAAAGCGTGGTCCACTAGTTGGTGTAGCCTTTTAAAACATTTGGTATAATCATAATTATATATCATCAATTACCACTGCCACTGGTAAAATCCTAAATTTAAAATAGTGTACTATAATAATAAGACATTAATTATGTCTTAAATGGATCGCCTACTACCATGTTTTAGAAACAAATAAAATGTAATTCTTAAATTAATAAAAATATTCAAAATAATTTAAGATTCCTTGCGTTATGTTAATAAACATTAAATAAAATTTCTTACGAATTATTTAGTATTCTGTCTCGTACTTCCATGTCTCTATTAGCTTCGCTGTCAACAAGTTCCGGCAAGGCATATTGCATATAAAAATTTTTAATTTTATTTTGTCTTTTTTTCCCAAAAGCTGTCATTATGAGATATTTTCTCCACTTTTATTCCTCCAGAAGTCCAAAAGCACAAAATGCAAAAATCCATTTGTGTTATGTGCAGCTAACCCTGAATTTGAAAATACCAATATTGGTTGTCCTTAATGGTATTGTCCTTTTTCCAAAAAGTTATTTCTCTACTGTATATTTCTTCTTTTACAGTTAGCACTTCAGCTCCATATGGACATTTTAACTCTATCATAGAGTTTTGTTTTTTTTTTAATTCCATCCAGACTGGCAGCAATATAATCAAATTTGAATTCAATAAAATGTCCACATTTAAAAACTTTTACTTGCAAATAATTTTCCATATCTTATTTTGCTCTGAATTTATGGTCCATGTCATATCGGGTGGCTTTACAAATAAATAAAAGATTTTAGGAAATTTTTTACAAATTTCTCCAAATTTTAAAGCAGTGACTTGTCTTTTATTGTGCCACAATACACAATCAGCTTGTCAAAATCGTTTCTTTCTCATTTATAGAAATTGGATAACTTTTTAGAAAATTTTCTCTTGCCACGCGCCTCAA